AATGTGAAGTTATGTGCTTACATCATCAAGTTATGTGCTTACATCACGAAGTTATGTGCTTACATCATGAAGCTATGTGCTTACATTATGAAGTTATGTGCTTACATCATGAGGTTATGTGCTTACATCATAAAGTTATGTGCTTACATCATGAGGTTATGTGCTTACATCATGAAGTTATGTGCTTACATCATGAGGTTATGTGCTTACATCATGAGGTTATGTGCTTACATCATGAAGTTATGTGCTTACATCATGAAGCTATGTGCTTACATTATGAAGTTATGTGCTTACACCATGAAGTTATGTGCTAACATCATGAGGTTATGTGTTTACACCATGAAGTTATGTGCTTACACCATGAAGTTATGTGCTTACACCATGAAGTTATGTGCTTACATCATTGGCAGAATCCAGACAGAGTGATGTTCCTGTGCGAGTGCTGTCGATGCGCTTCATCTGTGTGGAAAAGTTGAATGGGATCTGACACTGTGTGGCTTCATCGTGTGTCGGCTGGTCAAGGCTACAACTCGGACACATAAAGGCTACAACACGGACACATCAAGGCTACAACACGGACATATCAAGGCTACAACACGGACACATCAAGACTACAACACGGACACATCAAGGCTACAACACGGACACATCAAGACTACAACACAGACACATCAAGACTACAACACGGACACATCAAGGCTACAACACGGACACATCAAGGCTACAACACGGACACATCAAGGCTACAATACGGACACATCAAGGCTACAACACGGACACATCAAGGCTACAACCCAGACACATCAAGGCTACAACACGAACACATCAAGGCTACAACACTGACACATCAAGGCTACAACACGGACACATCAAGGCTACAACACGGACACATCAAGGCTACAAATCGACACATCAAGGCTACAACACAGACACATCAAGGCTACAACACGGACACATCAAGGCTACAACACGGACACATCAAGGCTACAAATCGACACATCAAGGCTACAACTCGGACACTTCAGGCATTAGAATACCACATGAAGCAATCAGACAATCACCTATGTTTATAAAGTGTAGCTCATACTAACAATATAACGGACACCTGATTTTTCTCACCAGCAGGAAATATGTCTGCAGAAAAATTGTCCCGTTCCCCAGTTTTAAGAAATAAATCTTAAAAATTAATACAGATACGTTTTAAAAACAATTTTTTATATAATAAAGCACTAAAAAGTAGAAAACTTTTTTTTAAATATCTAATAATGCAGTGCTATTTAAAAAACTAAAAAGAAAAGCGTAGGGTCGCTTCTTAAATTTGAGTGGAGGATTAAAAAGATAAAAAAATGACCCAAACTTTAATTTACAATTTTTTAATCGAGGTGCATTATTATACATTTAAAGAACATAATTTATTTTCTAATTTTTAGCGAATTATTGTATGGAAATTTGCTATTTTTTACTTTTAACAATTTCAAATCTTTAAAAATTTTAAAACAATAGAATTACATAACTAAAAACATGTGCACACCAAATTAACACAAACATTTTGCGTATAATACCGCGAGAAAAAGTACTTTAAATTTCGAATGTTAATTAATTCTTTAAAAAGCAATTAAGCAAACTATTACGTCACATTTAATGTCACACTGCATCGTCATTGGACCCTTACCACGTGCCAAGTTTGCGAGTAATTGGTCTATTAATAGTGGTTGAAATTTCGCTTGTCAGTTTCTATCGGCTACCAAGCACGACAAAAGACAAAGCATGAGGATATAAATAATACAAAAATCTTGTAATAAAAACTTGTACCAAGCAATTGTCAAATTTTACTATCCAGGCAAAATACAAGAATTTTAGAATCTTTTCTTCGTTTCGACCGTTCTTTGTTTATAAAACATTTTTTTTTTCTTACTTCAAATGTTCTCACAATTCTATTTTGTTCCGTAATATAGTTTACTTTCTGGCTTTCAGATTTTAGTCCAGTAGCTGAAGTATTGTGTGCTTTTCTGCTAACGGTTCGCATGGACTATTCTATTTCGTTCTGTTAGGCCCAGTTCTGTTCTGTCCAGTCCAGTCCAGTTCTGTTCTGTTCTGTGCAGTTCTGGTCTGTCTAGTTCTGTTCAATGTAGCAGGTATATTATGCTAATTTGAAGATACAATTTTACTTTCTTGTATACGAAGTAAAGAGGAAGTAATGTAATCGTGCAAAAAATCGAAGTCGTTTTACCCCGCCTTGAGTCGGAAAAACACAGTTTTGCAATTTTGTCCGTATGTGTGTGTGTGTGTGTGTGTGTGTGTGTGTCTGTGAACACGATAACTTGAGTACCGTTACACCTAGGTTGATGAAATTTCATATATAAGTATTATATCAATTGTGTAGATCTATATCAACTTTTCAGCGATTTCCGATAACCGGAAGTGGAACTTAATCTACTTTAAGTTTTTTTTTTTTTAAAAGCCGATAACTTGAATACTATTTCAGATAGATAAATGAAATTTCACATGTAAGAAAAAGATCTAATTCTCCGCCTTCTGTCAAATTTTGAGTAATTTCCGTTGATTGGAAGTATTAATTTACGCTATTTCCGATTCCTCAAAAAAAAAAAACGGATGTGAATTTATAATACTAACTAGACTACCCGTCATCCGTTGGATAACTGTGGGTTTCGGGGGTCATCCATAAAAAACATCACGTCTGTCACTCAGAGGCGTAGCGACCCTTCCCGGTGCCCGGGGACAAACTTTTCGATTTGAACCCCCCCCCTCCCGGCAAGATTTCGATATGCACCCCCCTCAAACTTTCGATGTGCACCACCCCCCCCCCCCCTCCCACAAGATTTCGATTTGCACCCCCCTCAACCTTTCAATTTATTTTTCCAACCCATTTTGGCGCCCCCTAGGGGACATATGTACCCCCCGCCCCTACCCCCTCGCTACGCTACTGCAGTGTCACTTATCGTCACAAAAAAACAGACCCCACATTCAAACATATGTTTTTTATCTTTTAAAAACACCGAAAACAACGATTTCGGACTATCCCTTCATATACTGACGTCACAGGTGACTTACTCAACCCTACTTCACCTGCCCAGTGTCCCGCTAGTCAACCTTATCATTCACATGTAGGCCTTTGGCAGAGGCGTAGCGACCCTTCCCGGCGCCCGGGGACATACTTTCAATTTGGCGCCCCCCTCGGGAGCAAATTTTCGATTTGCACCCCCCTCGAACTTTTCATTTGCACCCCCCCCCTCAAACTTTCAATTTGGCGCCCCCCCCCCCTAAGGTCGGCGCCCAGGGACATATGTCCCCCCCCGCCCCCCCCCCCCCTCGCTACGCCTCTGGCCTTTGGAAAAATAATTGAAAACATTGTTGTTCAAAGAAAATAAATCTTTTTACTATTACTAAAGTCTTTGTTTTAAACTTTTATAATAATGTGGTTAATTTACCCATGAATATATCAATAAATTAATTAACGGCTTTAAATTAGTTTGTAATTAACAGCGTTTTTAAGAACACTGTTTTTTGCTTAAGTCTCGTTTTTTTTGTGGATTGTATTTATAACTAATAAATCTTTGATTTGACCTAGATTCTAGATCTATAAATAACTTTCTTGGACAGATTGTAGATCTAGAGAAATTATCGTAAAAATAAATGAAAAAGACAGTTGAAAAGTGTTGGAACGTAATAAATACAGCAAACGGACGTATTGTTAAAGTTAAAGCCGACAGAAAATTAGCTTTAGAACGCGTTAAACATTGGAATGGGAACACAATCTTCTTCGATAGGCCGCCATTATTGATGTAAAAAAATAAACATATCATGTGACGTCACTGTTTCCGTCGAGTGTAGTGGTTTTTCAAATCTTTTTTTAAAAAATGTGGTTAATCTACCTATGAATAAATCAATAAATTAATTAACGTCTTTAAATAAATGTGTGATTAAAAGTCTGTCTGCAATCAAAAATTATTCTCTACCTACATACTATTTTACAGCCCCCCCCCCCCCCCCCATATAAAGCAGTTTCCTTACAGTAAGAAATCAGACAAACAAACAAACAAATAAATATTCAAACACGTAAACAAAGTTGAGTTTTAGTAGTATATAGATAACATTTCGCACTATTATACACATATTATTTGTCGTTCACTTGGTGTGCAATTCTTTTTTGTATGAGATTCTATTCTATTTTTTAAAAGTAGAACTAATTGAAAATTGATTAAAAATATTGTCTATATCCCGAGTTGCTACCCCCCGTGAAGTAGTGTTATACAAGAATATTCGAGAAAGTTTAGGGGAGATCACTTCCAGTTTAATATTTTATCGTTTTGAGTTTGTTATTTTAAGTTAATTTATTCTTACAAGTAGATATTTTAAGAAGATTATTTTAAGTTAATTATTTTTTAATTAATTTTTTTAACATAATTGTATCAAGTTAATTGTTTTAAGTTGATTATTTTAAGTTAAAAAATCTCAGGGCTGGCCCGTTGGGAGGCATGTGTTATGAAGTTGAAATGTTTACAGATTAATTTAACGTAAGATTAACAAAATAAAACAATGTACTAATTAGTTCTGAATATTACTCAATTTAGGTATAGGAGGTATAGTAGGTATAGGAGGTGTAGTAGGTATAGTAGGTGTAGTAGGTGAAGTAGGTATAGTAGGTGTAGTAAATGTGGCGAGACATAGCCCTGAACACGCCCTAAACTGCCAGGTTTCAATGGGGACTTGACGTTTTAAACAAGGAAGCAAACTTTACAGGGGCCCCAATGTCAGGGGCCCCATTGTTTGAGAGGAATTTTTAAATTGTTAGGTGTTGCCGTTAAGTACTTTCTGCCGGGATATAAATCACATATGAACGACATGATGCTTTAGAAGCTAAATACCCCACCCATTCAGTTAAGATAACCCCCACCCATCCCTTAAGATACCCCACCCATCCCTTAAGATACTCCACCCATCCCTTAAGATACCCCACCCATCCTTTAAGATTTAAAGAGTTAGCTACAAGTCCAGTACTGTAAACCTATAGTCGAGTCAGTGGCCCTGTAGTTTGGAAGGATATAAATAATTTCCACCGGCCGGATGTCAAAGGAAAACAGCTGGTCGTCGCTGCTGTAGTGCAGCAGGTGGCTGCTGTTCTCGGCGCTGTCGTTGGAACAGCTGACACAGCTGACGTCCATGACAACAAACATCATGTTGGTCTCGTTCATCCACCTGGCCTCATAGAACCTGGAGACATCGTCAATTGGTGGTTTATGTAGGTCATGTCCCACTTTGCGGTTTATGTAGGTCATGTCCCACTTAGTGGTTTATTTAGGTCATGTCCCACTTTGTGGTTTATGAAGGTCATGTCCCACTTAGTGGTTTATGTAGGACATGTCCCACTTTGTGGTTTATTTAGGTCATGTCCCACTTTATGGTTTGTGTAGGTCATGTCCCAATGTGTGGTTTATGTAGGTCATGTCCCACTTTGTGGTTTATGTAGGTCATGTCCCACTTACTGATTAGTCTTGGAGCTACACTGAGAGACGCAGTCAGCGAAGGCTTGGCTTTTGTTCCTAGCCTGCAGCTCCTGGTGGTTGAGCATGTAGCGCTTGAGACTGTTGGAGCACTGACGCTGGTTGAAGACGTAGTCGCCCTCGAACCGCTCGTTCAGATCTATGTCGATGACGAAATTACACAGCAGGAACTTGGCCAGGTGGTCTTCGGCGTCGACGTTCTTCTCACACTGCTCTTTGTCTGTGGACAACGGTAGTGGTCAGTTGAGGGCTGGACAACACAATCATGTGGCGACAACACAATCATGTGGCGACAACACAATCACGTGGCGACAACACAATCATGTGGCGACAACACAATCATGTGGCGACAACACAATCATGTGGCGACAACAATGTGGTGTTGACAGCAATGTCTGGCTTACCTCCACCAACTGAAGGCAAAAAACTCAAGACATTCCAGTCCGATAAAAATCTGAAAAAAAGATCAAAATATTGTGTATCGAACATAGAATTCCCTGTTAAATTGATGATATTTAGTTTGAGTAGGATTCACAGAACACACAAGCATTGCTTCTATGTCACGCTGTAAAACGATAACTGACGGAATGAAACACTACCCAGCGACTGACATTATTGTTTATGTAAATGTAAGTATACATCATAATGTAATGTATATATAAATAAATGCTTGAATGTACATGTGGGTATAGAACTACCACACATGAATAAACAAAGGACTTACAAGACGAATTCAGAAATCAGCCAGAAAAAGAATCTGGAAATCATCTGAAGTGGCTGAAACAAAGATAGTTGTGGTCACATTTAAAAAGCTTTTATTTTGTTCACAATGTTTTCTTTGTTTATGTTTATGGGCTTATGTAGTATATACTTTATTTAGAATAAATTATTAAAAAGTGAAAAAAACTTAAACACCTTTATAATAATAAACTTAAAAATGCACTGAGAATATGAAAATAAAACTAATATTAGCTGTCTTAAATAAGAGCTTAGGTCGCTAAAATATGTAAGAGATCGCATGAGCTACCGAAGTTTTTATTATAGGAAATACATTTTCGATCTCATTCTTTCAGTACATTAAAAAGTTTATTGTTAATGAGGTTTTATATTTGTTTCAATCAAAGGCAAGATGTCTTTGTCTATGTGTGCATGTAAATATCTTTGTCTATGTCAGTGGCGGAACTAGAAAAAAAGGGCCACCCCGCAAAAAAATTTTTTAGCCCCCCCCCCCCATATATATATATATATATATATATATATATATATATATATATATATATATATATATATATATATATATATACATATATATATATAGGCCTATATATGATATGGTATATATACAATCACAATATACGAACATAAGATACTCATTATACTGGCCTGTTCGGGATTTGAGATACATCAATTTAAAAAAATTTCAACTTCATGTCAAGTGAGTTAGTGCAATAGTGTGTTTTGTAAAAATCAGTTTTAATTAATTTCTGATAGAAACCATCTTAGCCTTCAGTCGGTCAAAAATGATATAAAACATTAAAGCTTTGTATAAGTAATGGTGTCTCGTGTTATGTTTATTTTTATGGTTTTTTTTTTTGTATTTATATTATTAATTTTTTAAATATTATTGATTTGTACATTTTCTTTTTATAGCATGTCATTCTTTAGTAATTACTTATAAAAAAAAATAATTAAGAGAAGTAAATGGTTTTTTAATTTGTTTATAACAAATCTATTAAAAGGAGCTTATGATCACCCCTATTTGACTATTTTTTTAAAAAAAAAGGGGAAATAAGTCATGGAAGTGGTTGGAACATTTGCTTATCTTTGATAAGTTTAATTGTAGGAGAAAGACTCGGCTTTCACAGTGGTTTAAAAGCAAAGGGAAAAAGAATATACAAAAGCGTGGGGTGGTATCTATAGAATAAAGATAATCCAACCGCAGCTACGGTAATTTTTTACAAAACAACCAAAAGTCAAAAAATAAAAGATAATTTAATTTTTTTATTACTATAAATTTTTTTTTTTTTTTTTTTTTTTTTTTTTTTTAATTATTGTCGGCTCTGGGCCCCCTAAATGGCGTAGGCCCCCCCCCCCCCCGCATTGCGGGGTCTGGCGGCACTGTAGTTCCGCCCCTGGTCTATGTGTGCATGTAAATGTCTTTGTCTATAACTTACATTTCTGGTGCTACTTGATGCACTGGATTTTTTCATGTCGACTTTGATTTCACAAGTACTTTGATAATCTGTAATCTGGATTCTGTTGGGAAAAATGGTATGCGTGTGGGTTACGTGGTGTGTGAGTGAGGTGGTGTGTGGGTGAGTGGTGTGGGTGAGGAGGTGTTTGGGTGATGTGGTTTCTGGGTGGTGTGGTGTGTGAGTGAGGTGGTGTGTGGGTGAGTGGTGTGGTTGAGGTAGTGTATGAGTGAAGTGGTGTGTGGGTTAGGTGGTGTTTGGGTGAAGTGGTGTGGGTGACGTAGTGTGGTTTCTGGGTGGTGTGGTGTGTGGGTGAAGTGGTGTGTGAGTGAAGTTATGTGGGGGTGAGGTGGTATGTGGGGGAGGTGGTGTTTGGGTGATGTGATGTGGTGTGTGGGTGGTGTGGTGTGTGGGTGAGTGGTAAGTCTTTAAAATGAAACGAATTATGTGGTAATGATGGTGTCATTCATTTCATGTCATTTAGATGTAACTCAGATGACATATGAAGTTGATTTCATTGTGATGCCAATGATTGATGTGATGTCTTCAGATTTCATATGGCATGAAGAGTGACATGTAATGACGACTGTCATGTCACTAAGGGCGACTACTCACACTTTGAATATGTTGTCATTTAGCAGCGCCCTCATGAGCCGTCCATTATGTTGACCCAGGAACATCCCGGTCTGAAAGATAGGACATTATCTTCAGCTAAACTATGGCTGTGTGACATTATCTTAAGTTAAACTATGGCTGTGTGACATTATCTTCAGCTAAACTTTGGCTGTGTGACATTATCTTCGGCTAAACTATGGCTGTGTGATATTATCTTAAGCTAAACTATGGCTGTGTGACATTATCTTCGGCTAAACTATGGCTGTGTGACATTATCTTCAGCTAAACTTTGGCTGTGTGAGACATTATGTTCAGCTAAACTATGGCTGTGTGACATTATCTTCAGCTAAACTTTGGCTGTGTGACATTATGTTCAGCTAAACTATGGCTGTGTGACATTATCTTAAGCTAAACTTTGGCTGTGTGACATTATGTTCAGCTAAACTATGGCTGTGTGACATTATCTTCAGCTAAACTTTGGCTGTGTGGCATTATGTTCAGCTAAACTTTGGAATTTTACAAATGTATGACGTCACAAGCATGACATCACTGACATCATGTCCCAGAAGTGACATGACCTTGTAAAACCTATTCTAGAGGTCGCGTGACCTTGTAAAACCTGTTCTAGAGGTTGCATGACCTTGTAAAACCTGTTCTAGAGGTTGCATGACCTTGTAAAACCTGTTCTAGAGGTTGCATGACCTTGTAAAACCTGTTCTAGAGGTCGCCTTGTGAAACCTGTTCTAGAGGTCGCCTTGTGAAACATGGCCTGTTATTTCTAAATGTGATGGTTTGCCACCTACCCCATTTCTGTCGTGTTCTGAAGAAATCAAAATGTAACCGTTGTGATCCACTAGGTAACACAGGAAGTTCTGCACAGAGAAATACACAGGTTAACATTCATGGTTAACATTCATACAGAGGTTAAAATTCATACAAAGGTTAACATTCATGGTTAACATTCATGGTTAACATTCGTATAGAGGTTAACATTCATACAAAGGTTAACATTCATACAAAGGTTAATATTCATTCGGATGTTAACATTCATAACATTCAATGTTAAGATGTGAAGTATTTGTATTCAAACCTAACACAAGAAACATCAAGAAATAACAATAATTGGGGAGTGGGTGGGGGGGGGGGGGAAGTATAAGCGGAGTAGACTAAAACAATGACCCAGGATACAATCTAGAGTTGACACACCCCTGACCCCACGAGCGAGGCTGACCTCTGACCCCCCCCCCCCCCGAGCGAGGGTGACCCACGAGCGAAGCTCACCTCTGACCCCCCACGAGCGAGGCTGACCTCTGACCCCACGAGCGAGGCTGACCCCTGACCCCACGAGCGAGGCTCACCTCTGTGTCCTTACAGGTGTACTGACAGTTGTTGGTGCAGGAGAAGACCTGCTGCTCGAAGATGTCGTAGAAGGCGCTGTACTGCATGGTGAAGGCCACGACGGCTGCCGGCACTTGGGCTGATCTGTTGAGTCCCACCAGCTCAGCCGTTGCTATGGTGACGTAGCTCGTGTTGATGTCAATCGGCCCTAAGACAAGAGAGACTGTCTAAATCCTTGGCACAGTCACGTTTTTTACAAGCTTTTATTGAGTTCGCAACGTCTGTTTGTTTGTTTGTTTGTAGTTTGTTTGAGGGTTTGTGGCAGCTCTTGTAAGTTTAGACCCATTTCTAATGCATCGATTTCGTTCAAACTTTCCAGATACGTTCAGTTCTTACGGCAATCCAAGTCTATCATTTTTTAAATTTAATTAGATGTTTAATTAGTCATTAAAATTAATTAAACGGTTTCGAAACTAAGGGAAGATAACACAATTTAATTACTTGATAGATTACTATATTCAATAACAGAACTTGAACTATAATGAAGTTTAAAATCTTAGGCGACACCCTAATACGGACGGGTGCTTTCGTCATCAGATAATCGTCTTTCAGATATCGCGAGCTAAAGATTGTGTTTTGAAATAAATATTTTAAGTCGTGTCGACGTCATAAATTAGGAATAACTAAAAAGATAGAAAATAAAATAAATATAAAAAAAAAACCTTAGTAGCAATAAGCTTTTAAATTCACTGAAAATAATAAAATAAATCTAATTTGCTTTCTTTAATAAAAGCTTCGGTTGTTCGTGAGATCTTTTATACATTTTAGCAACAAAAGCTTTTATTAAAGAAAGCAAATTAGTTTTATTTTCTTATTTTCAGTGAATTTAAAAGCCTTTTGCTATAAATGTTTTTATACTTATTTTTTAATGTGAGATCAGTCAAATTTGGTTCTATAAGATTATTTACCAATTAGCCAAAGCATAAGTTTCGTCACTGTTATAAAAAAACGTAAAACGTCAGGCATATAGGGTCATGGGTCAGGTGTATTTGATACAGTGGCCATCTATTCAAACTTGACTTACTTTGAGACATGACAACCGGACCAGTGAAGACAAATCTGTAGCCTTCTTCCCAGGCGTCCACAGCCATCTGGTAGTAAAAGCTCTGGATGGTATCCAGTTCTACATCAAATCTAGGCAAGAATCAACATGGTCTAGGCAAGAATCAACATGGTCTAGGCAAGAATCAACATGGTCTAGGCAAGAATCAACATGGTCTAGGCAAGAATCAACATGGTCTAGGCAAGAATCAACATGGTCTAGGCAAGAATCAACATGGTCTAGGCAAGAATCAACATGGTCTAGGCAAGAATCAACATGGTCTAGGCAAGAATCAACATGGTCTAGGCAAGAATCAACATGGTCTAGGCAAGAATCAACAAAGTCTGAGCAAGGTGTGGTGTATTTCATGTTTGAGTGCTAAAGTTCAAAGACTAGCTCTAATGAAGATGCTCCGAGTGAAAGGGTGCCTTACGGTTCTAGAGGGTCTTGGGAGCTGCTCAGGACGCTGGTCAAGCCGGTGCTGGTTCCTATCCAGATGTTCTTGATGCCGTACCTGGAACAGAGACAAAAACATTCAGAGGACATTCATAGGACATTCATAGGACATTCATAGGACATTCAGAGGACATTCATAGGACATTCAGAGGACATTCAGAGGACATTCAGAGGACATTCATAGGACATTCATAGGACATTCAGAGGACATTCAGAGGACATTCATAGGACATTCAGAGGACATTCATAGGACATTCAGTGGACATTCATAGGACATTCAGTGGACATTCAGTGGACATTCATAGGACATTCAGTGGACATTCAGTGGACATTCATAGGGCATTCAGAGGACATTCAGAGGACATTCAGTGGACATTCATAGGACATTCAGTGGACATTCAGTGGACATTCATAGGACATTCAGAGGACATTCAGTGGACATTCAGAGGGCATTCAGAGGACATTCAGAGGACATTCAGTGGACATTCAGAGGACATTCAGAGGACAAAGAGTTCATTTATTTCATTCGATTCTTTTCAAGTCTGGAGTTGCTACAGACACCTACCTGTCTCACACAACTAACTAAGACACCTACCTGTCTCACACAACTAAGACACCTACCTGTCTCACACAACTAAGACACCTACCTGTCTCACACAACTAAGACACCTACCTGTCTCACACAACTAAGACACCTACCTGTCTCACACAACTGGCTAAGACACCTACCTGTCTCACACAACTAAGACACCTACCTGTCTCACACAGCTAGCTAAGACACCTACCTGTCTCACACAACTAAGACACCTACCTGTCTCACACAACTAAGACACCTACCTGTCTCACACAACTAAGACACCTACCTGTCTCACACAACTAAGACACCTACCTGTCTCACACAACTAAGACACCTACCTGTCTCACACAACTAAGACACCTACCTGTCTCACACAACTAAGACACCTACCTGTCTCACACAACTAGCTAAGACACCTACCTGTCTCACACAACAAAGACACCTACCTGTCTCACACAACTAAGACACCTACCTGTCTCACACAACTAAGACACCTACCTGTCTCACACAACTAAGACACCTACCTGTCTCACACAACTAAGACACCTACCTGTCTCACACAACTAAGACACCTACCTGTCTCACACAGCTAGCTAAGACACCTACCTGTCTCACACAACTAAGACACCTACCTGTCTCACACAACTAAGACACCTACCTGTCTCACACAACTAAGACACCTACCTGTCTCACACAACTAAGACACCTACCTGTCTCACACAACTAAGACACCTACCTGTCTCACACAACTGGCTAAGACACCTACCTGTCTCACACAACTAAGACACCTACCTGTCTCACACAACTAAGACACCTACCTGTCTCACACAGCTAGCTAAGACACCTACCTGTCTCACACAACTAAGACACCTACCTGTCTCACACAACTAAGACACCTACCTGTCTCACACAACTAAGACACCTACCTGTCTCACACAACTAAGACACCTACCTGTCTCACACAACTAAGACACCTACCTGTCTCACACAACTAAGACACCTACCTGTCTCACACAACTAAGACACCTACCTGTCTCACACAACTAAGACACCTACCTGTCTCACACAACAAAGACACCTACCTGTCTCACACAACTAAGACACCTACCTGTCTCACACAACTAAGACACCTACCTGTCTCACACAACTAAGACACCTACCTGTCTCACACAACTGAGACACCTACCTGTCTCACACAACTAAGACACCTACCTGTCTCACACAACTAAGACACCTACCTGTCTCACACAACTAAGACACCTACCTGTCTCACACAACTGAGACACCTACCTGTCTCACACAACTAAGACACCTACCTGTCTCACACAACTAAGACACCTACCTGTCTCACACAACTAAGACACCTACCTGTCTCACACAACTAAGACACCTACCTGTCTCACACAACTAAGACACCTACCTGTCTCACACAACTAAGACACCTACCTGTCTCACACAACTAAGACACCTACCTGTCTCACACAACTAGCTAAGACACCTACCTGTCTCACACAACAAAGACACCTACCTGTCTCACACAACTAAGACACCTACCTGTCTCACACAACTAAGACACCTACCTGTCTCACACAACTAAGACACCTACCTGTCTCACACAACTGAGACACCTACCTGTCTCACACAACTAAGACACCTACCTGTCTCACACAACTAAGACACCTACCTGTCTCACACAACTAAGACACCTACCTGTCTCACACAACTGAGACACCTACCTGTCTCACACAACTAAGACACCTACCTGTCTCACACAACTAAGACACCTACCTGTCTCACACAACTAAGACACCTACCTGTCTCACACAACTAAGACACCTACCTGTCTCACACAACTAACTAAGACACCTACCTGTCTCACACAACTAAGACACCTACCTGTCTCACACAACTAAGACACCTACCTGTCTCACACAACTAAGACACCTACCTGTCTCACACAACTAAGACACCTACCTGTCTCACACAACTGGCTAAGACACCTACCTGTCTCACACAACTAAGACACCTACCTGTCTCACACAGCTAGCTAAGACACCTACCTGTCTCACACAACTAAGACACCTACCTGTCTCACACAACTGAGACACCTACCTGTCTCACACAACTAAGACACCTACCTGTCTCACACAACTAAGACACCTACCTGTCTCACACAACTAAGACACCTACCTGTCTCACACAACTGAGACACCTACCTGTCTCACACAACTAAGACACCTACCTGTCTCACACAACTAAGACACCTACCTGTCTCACACAGCTAGCTAAGACACCTACCTGTCTCACACAACTAAGACACCTACCTGTCTCACACAACTAAGACACCTACCTGTCTCACACAACTAAGACACCTACCTGTCTCACACAACTAAGACACCTACCTGTCTCACACAACTAAGACACCTACCTGTCTCACACAACTAAGACACCTACCTGTCTCACACAACTAAGACACCTACCTGTCTCACACAACTAGCTAAGACACCTACCTGTCTCACACAACAAAGACACCTACCTGTCTCACACAACTAAGACACCTACCTGTCTCACACAACTAAGACACCTACCTGTCTCACACAACTAAGACACCTACCTGTCTCACACAACTAAGACACCTACCTGTCTCACACAACTAAGACACCTACCTGTCTCACACAGCTAGCTAAGACACCTACCTGTCTCACACAACTAAGACACCTACCTGTCTCACACAACTAAGACACCTACCTGTCTCACACAACTAAGACACCTACCTGTCTCACACAACTAAGACACCTACCTGTCTCACACAACTAAGACACCTACCTGTCTCACACAACTGGCTAAGACACCTACCTGTCTCACACAACTAAGACACCTACCTGTCTCACACAACTAAGACACCTACCTGTCTCACACAGCTAGCTAAGACACCTACCTGTCTCACACAACTAAGACACCTACCTGTCTCACACAACTAAGACACCTACCTGTCTCACACAACTAAGACACCTACCTGTCTCACACAACTAAGACACCTACCTGTCTCACACAACTAAGACACCTACCTGTCTCACACAACTAAGACACCTACCTGTCTCACACAACTAAGACACCTACCTGTCTCACACAACTAGCTAAGACACCTACCTGTCTCACACAACAAAGACACCTACCTGTCTCACACAACTAAGACACCTACCTGTCTCACACAACTAAGACACCTACCTGTCTCACACAACTAAGACACCTACCTGTCTCACACAACTGAGACACCTACCTGTCTCACACAACTAAGACACCTACCTGTCTCACACAACTAAGACACCTACCTGTCTCACACAACTAAGACACCTACCTGTCTCACACAACTGAGACACCTACCTGTCTCACACAACTAAGACACCTACCTGTCTCACACAACTAAGACACCTACCTGTCTCACACAACTAAGACACCTACCTGTCTCACACAACTAAGACACCTACCTGTCTCACACAACTAGCTAAGACACCTACCTGTCTCACACAACTAAGACACCTACCTGTCTCACACAACTAAGACACCTACCTGTCTCACACAACTAAGACACCTACCTGTCTCACACAACTAAGACACCTACCTGTCTCACACAGCTAGCTAAGACACCTACCTGTCTCACACAACTAAGACACCTACCTGTCTCACACAACTAAGACACCTACCTGTCTCACACAACTAAGACACCTACCTGTCTCACACAACTAAGACACCTACCTGTCTCACACAACTAAGACACCTACCTGTCTCACACAACTAAGACACCTACCTGTCTCACACAACTAAGACACCTACCTGTCTCACACAACTAAGACACCTACCTGTCTCACACAACTAAGACACCTACCTGTCTCACACAACTAAGACACCTACCTGTCTCACACAACTAAGACACCTACCTGTCTCACACAACAAAGACACCTACCTGTCTCACACAACTAAGACACCTACCTGTCTCACACAACTAAGACACCTACCTGTCTCACACAACTAAGACACCTACCTGTCTCACACAACTAAGACACCTACCTGTCTCACACAACTAAGACACCTACCTGTCTCACACAACTAAGACACCTACCTGTCTCACACAACTAAGACACCTACCTGTCTCGATGTGTCGTCACGAAGCAGCGTTGTTTTTCCTCAGACCTTGTGTCCTCCCGTGAGTTGACCCAACACTTGTCATATTCTGACCTGACAAATACAACTGACATGTCATACTCTGACCTGACAAATACAACAACTGACATGTCATACTCGGACCTGACAAATACAACAACTGACATGTCATATTCGGACCTGACAAATACAACAACTGACATGTCATACTCGGACCTGACAAATACAACAACTGACATGTCATATTCGGACCTGACAAATACAACAACTGACATGTCATACACGGACCTGACAAATACAAATGACATGTCACATGTCATACTCGGACCTGACAAATACAACTGACATGTCACTTGTCACTCTCTCTATAATGTGCAATTGCTTTTTTAATCAAACAAAAGAATGTAAATCCATTTTATCTTCTAACCCTTTACATAAACTTTTGTATCCACAAAATTGACACAAAGGTTTGATTGTAGGCCACTTACATAAACTTTTGTCCACTTACATAAACTTTTGTCCACTTACATAAACTTTTGTCCACTTACATAAACTTTTGTCCACTTACATAAACTTTTGTCCACTTACATAAAATTTTGTCCACTTACATAAACTTTTGTTTAATTTACATAAACTTTTGTCAATTTACATAAACTTGTGTCCACTTACATAAACTTTTGTTTAATTTACATAAACTTTTGTCAATTTACATAAACTTGTGTCCACTTACATAAACTTTTGTCCACTTACATAAACTTTTGTATCCACAAAATTGACACAAAGGTTTGATTGTAGTCCACTTACATAAACTTTTGTCCATTTACATAAACTTTTGTCCACTTACATAAACTTTTGTATCCACAAAATTGACACAAAGGTTTGATTGTAGTCCACTTACATAAACTTTTGTCCACTTACATAAACTTTTGTCCACTTACATAAACTTTTGTTCACTTACATAAAATTTTGTCCACTTACATAAACTTTTGTCTATTTACATAAACTTTTGTCAATTTACATAAACTTTTGTCCACTTACATAAACTTTTGTCCACTTACATAAACTTTTGTCAATTTACATAAACTTGTGTCCACTTACATAAACGTTTGTCTATTTACATAAACTTTTGTCCACTTACATAAACGTTTGTCTATTTACATAAACTTTTGTCCACTTACATAAACTTTTGTCAATTTACATAAACTTTTGTCCACTTACATAAACTTTTGTCAATTTACATAAACTTGTGTCCACTTACATAAACGTTTGTCTATTTACATAAACTTTTGTCCACTTACATAAACGTTTGTCTATTTACATAAACTTTTGTCCACTTACATAAACTTTTGTCAATTTACATAAACTTTTGTCCACTTACATAAACTTTCTGTTGGTGTTGCCTGTGATGTGACTAGTCTGCACACCCTCCCAGACTTTAGAATATTCCAGAACAATGTCCATGTCTTTCCTCAACCTGAGCATGTGCTCTTGATCGCCTGGGGATCACGTGAATTTGTCATTTGTCAGTGATGTGTCAGTGATGTGATGTGTCAGTGATGTGTCAGTGATGTGATGTGTCAGTGATATGATGTGTCAGTGATGTGATGTGTCATTGATGTGTCAGTGATGTGATGTGTCAGTGATGTGTCAGTGATGTGTCAGTGATGTGATGTGTCAGTGATGTGTCAGTGATGTGTCAGTGATGTGATGTGTCAGTGATGTGATATGTCAGTGATGTGATGTGTCAGTGATGTGTCAGTGATTTGATGTGTCATTAATGTGATGTGTCAGTGACGTGATCTGTCAGTGATGTGTCAGTGATGTGTCAGTGATGTGATATGTCAGTGATGTGATGTGTCAGTGATGTGATGTGTCAGTGATGTGATGTGTCAGTAATGTGATGTGTCGATGTGTTAATGATGTGTCAGTGATGTGTCAGTGATGTGTCAGCAATGTGATGTGTCAGTGATGTGATATGTCAGTGATGTGATGTGTCAGTGATGTGATGTGTCAGTGATGTGTCAGTGATGTGATGTGTCAGTGATGTGATATGTCAGTGATGTGATGTGTCAGTGATGTGATATGTCAGTGATGTGATGTGTCAGTGATGTGATATGTCAGTGATGTGATGTGTCCGTGATGTGATGTGTCTATGATGTGTCAGTGATGTGATGTGTCAGTGATGTGATGTGTCAGTGATGTGATGTGTCTATGATGTGTCAGTGATGTGATTTGTCAGTGATGTGATGTGTCAGTGACGTGATCTGTCAGTGATGTGATGTGTCAGTGATGTGTCAGTGATGTGATGTGTTAGTGATGTGATGTGTCAGTGATGTGTCAGTGATGTGTCAGTGATGTGATGTGTCAGTGATGTGATATGTCAGTGATGTGATGTGTCAGTGATGTGATGTGTCAGTGATGTGATATGTCAGTGATGTGATGTGTCAGTGATGTGATGTGTCGATGTGTTAATGATGTGATGTTATGTGTTTTGATGTTTCAATTATTTGATGTATCAGTGATGTGTCAGTGATGTGTCAGTGATGTGTTAGTGATGTGTCAGTGATGTGGTTTTTCAGTGATGTGTCAGTGATGTGTCAGTGATGTGTAAGTGATGGTGTCAATGATGTGTCAGTGGTGTAATGACTTACATAGAGCCTCAATGGATATGTTCTGGCAAATATCTTTCATTTGAAAATAATGTTCTCCATCAGAGCAATAGATCCTGAAATAGAAACCAGTCCGTATAAAAAAGATCATTAAAAATGATCTAATGATCTATTTAACAACTTATTCTAAACGTCATGTCCTTAATTGAACTCAACCAATTGGCCAACTGACTGACTGACTGACTGACCAACTGACCAACTGACTGACTGACCAACTGACTGACTGACCAACTGACTGACCAACTGACTGACTGACCAACTGACTGACCAACTGACCAACTGACTGACCAACTGACCAACTGACCAACTGAATGACTGACTGACCAACTGACCAACTGACTGACTGACTGACCAACTGACTGACTGACCAACTGACTGACCAACTGACTGACTGACTGACCAAGAGACTGACAAACTGACCAACTGACTGACCAATTGACTGACTGACCAACCGACTGACTGACCAACTGACTGACTGACCAACTGACCAACTGACTGACTGACTGACCAACTGACTGACTGACCAACTGACTGACTGACCAACTGACTGACTGACTGACCAATTGACTGACTGACCAACTGACTGACCAACTGACTGACCAACTGACTGACCAACTGACTGACCAACTGACTGACCAACTGACTGACTGACCAACTGTCTGACTGACCAACTGACTGACTGACCAACAGACTGACTGACCAAGAGACTGACAAACTGACCAACTGACTGACCAATTGACTGACTGACCAACCGACTGACTGACCAACTGACTGACTGACCAACTGACCAACTGACTGACCAAGAGACTGACAAACTGACCAATTGACTGACTGACCAACTGACTGACCAATTGACTGACTGACCAACTGACTGACTGACAGACCAATTGACTGACCAACTGACTGACCAACCAACTTACTGACCAACTGACTGACCAACCAACTGAATGACCAACTGACTGACGTGACTTACCAGGCTGAGAAGTAAAATTTGCTGTACTTGGACTTGGCTTGATCCTTGCACAGTTCTATCAGAAACAAGATGGTGTGGTGGGTGGGGTGAGGCGAGGTGGGGGTGGGGGTGTCAATTATTTTAACAATCTTTAGTTTCAGACATGATACAATCTGCAACATTGAACACATAATTTGATCTTAGAACTTACGGTCAAAACTCCGTAAACTGCTGTCATCTAATTTAATGTATCGGGAACCATAGCCTTCGGGTAGAGCAAACACCAATCTAGGGGAACATACAAACAGGAAGTAGAACAAACACCAATATAGAGGAGGGAACATACAAACAGAAAGTAGAACAAACACCAGTCTAGAGGAGGGAACATACAAACATAAAGTATAACAAACACCAGTCTAGAGGAGGGAACATACAAACATAAAGTAGAACAATCACCAATATAGAGGAGGGAACATACAAACAGAAATTAACAACCAATTCAATGGAGGCGAGCGAGTTGACGAGATTCCTTCTATAATGTTGTTGACATGGAGTAAAAACGTGCTTTTTAGATTTAGACCGTAAAAAAAAATAAAAAATAAAAACTTAAGCCTAAAATTAATTTAGAAATTTTATATTTTTAGAATAAATGCTATAGAAGTTGCAAATCCAGAGAACTTGAAAATAATTTGTTGAGTTTAAGGCTACATCTCTATTTATTTTCATCAAGCCTAAGTTTAAACCGGATGTTTCACTTTCGTAAGACAAATATTGATTGGCTGTACAGTAACTTAGTGATCGATAACTATTTGTTTACAAAACTTTGCAGATCAAGTTTTTAAATAACAATGCAAATTTAAAACCCCATGACCGAGTTTTCTATTTTTAGCTTACAATGTGTACAATAAAATCTATGCCGGCCTATCCAATAGCAGGATGCCATTGTTTATGTCGCCATTACACGTGAAAACCAAATTGTTTTTGCTTTTTTTTTAAATTTTATTTAGTTACCGAAAATATTAAAAACATCAAATACGTCCAATCTTTAGTAAAGTCCAAATATAACCAGAAAGACAGGATTTTATAACCATATTAATTGTAACTACGCCGTGCAAGATTTTTAAATTAATTTATGCACCTCTCAAATACCTTTGAGACTTTTCTCGCTCGTGTCCATTGTTGAAATATTTTTGAACATTTGAATACACACCCACACCCAACAGAGTGTAATAGTACATGAGTTGACAGAGCGCAATTGTACATGAGTTTTCTTGCTCTACATTTTGACTCTAAGTAATCTAAATACTCATCCTTAACCCTAACCCTTATCCCTAACCCCTATCCCTAAACACTGTCCGCTGACCCCACCCCTAATCCTAACCCCTAACCCAACCTTTACCCTAACCTCTAACCCCTAACCCCTAACCTATAATCCAACCCTTACCCTAACCACTTGCCTCTATCCCCTACACACTAACCCCTAACCTTAAACACCTAAACCCTAACATCTAAACCCTAACCCCTAACCTCTAACCTTTGTTTTTTTCCCAATTACCTGAATGTGTCGGCTACCTCCATAAACAAGTAATTGTTTTTTCTTTCTTTCGCACGTCTCTAAAAAATATTCAGAAATACAATTTTTTTAAGTAAATCGTTAGATTCAGTCGCTAAAAAATATTCAGAAATTCATGTTTTTACAAGCTTTTATTTTACTCAATTCCTCGTCAGTCTGTCTGTCTGTCTAGATCGAAACGTCCGAGCGAAATTGCAGGCACTTCTACCTGACAGATACGGTTCGTAGTTGGCACGTGGGTCAAGACATGAAGACAATGCATCATTACATTCAATTTATGTGTTATGTTTGCGTTTCTTTTTTGTGTGTGTTTTGGTTTTGATTGGTTTTGGTTAGGATCGGCAATGCCGGGTATATAATGCTTACTAAACATACATGTCATGGTCCTTTACAGATAGGTATGATATAAAAAATTATTATTTAAGGTGTTATAAAACACATTTCATTTTCCAAACTTACAGTGTTAATTGATGACATTGCGTTAAAAAAATTAAAGAAAATGTATCGCCCTTCCCAAAAAAATCTATTGTGTCTGAACATTATTTACTTTAAGTCATTTAGCACTCATCACATCCCTGGATAAATAAGAAAAACACAATTACTTCCCTTTTTAAAAAACTGTTACATCGGGGAAAATTTACTTTTTATTACTTTCTTTTGGTGTTGGGAAAAAAATAATTACATAATTAGCGTGGATTGATAAAGTGCAATGTGGTAGGTACTTTAAATGCTGCCTTTTATTTATTTTATACACTGAACGTTCTGTTTACTAATTATTATTTTTAATCATTTAACAGTTTTGAAGCCAGCTGATTACCAAAAACACATGTCACGGTCCTTTAAAGATGGGGTTTTTCACATAGGCCAGTGCAGGGCCTGGCCGGGACGGCTATGTGTATATATATATATATATATATATATATATATATATATATATATATATATATATATATATATATATATATATATATATATATAATACTCTAGAAATACTCTTATAAATATAAATTTCTACATTTTTCCCACGTTTTCTTTAACTTGCTTTCTCTGTGTGTTTATTTGTTTGTCTTTCCAATCAAATCTTGCGATCGAAATTTCTGGCACTTCCCAGTTAGCTAGCGCGCTGAAATTTTCAGGGAAGCTTTCTTTTGGATGACCATTGAATATTCAATTGTTATTATTACTAAATTGATCAATGGAAACATTTTATTGAGCATTTTAGACCGCTATATAATCTATATATATAATTCTCCTCTGCTAGCCATTAGAAAAAAAACCAGCGACGCGTACCTCGCGCGCAGTGAAGCGAACGATCACATGTCGCCACAGGCTTAGGGGCAGAGAATTTAGCTTGAACCGAGTTTAAACTTACAGGAGGTAGGCCAGTTTGGGGGAGACGATATGGTCGAGTGGTTGGGCACACGATTGCTATCCCACTCGACACGGGTTCAAATCTATGTGTTCTAGTCAGTAACGTATTCAAACAACGTGTTTTTTACGAGTTGTCTTTTTACGAGTTGTCTTTTTACGAGTTGTCTTTTTACGAGTTGTCTTTTTACGAGTTGTCTTTTTACGAGTTGTCTTTTTACGAGTTGTCTTTTTACGAGTTGTCTTCGTTTACCCAAAAAAAGTGAAAAGATAAAATCGATAGCAAGATTTTAATGCAAACAAACAGACAAAGACTAAAAAGTAGAAAATAATAATCATTAAAAAAGTTTTAAAAAACCCACGTTTTCTGATTGAACTAAAAAGTAGAAAATAAATGCTATAGGCCCTACATCACAATAATGCAAGCGATCACTCTACTATAAGCGAGCAAAAACGTGGGGCGCCGTGATTTTCTTACAGTTTCTAATACTGTTGACTCTCTACAAGCTCCCTAATAAAAGTCAATAGTATTATCTAATCAATAGTAATATAACTTTTACTTCGGCGCCCCACGTTTTTCATCGCTTATAGTAGAGTGATCGCTTGCATTATTGTGATGTAGGGCCTATAGCATTTATTTTCTACTTTTTAGTTCAATCAGAAAACGTGGGTTTTTTAAAACTTTTTTAATGATTATTATTTTTACCAACCATATCGTTAGTGTGACCTTGACCAACCATATCGTTGGTGTGACCTTGACCAACCATATCGTTGGTGTGACCTTGACCTACCATATCGTTTGTGTGACCTTGACCTACCATTTCGTTGGTGTGACTTAACACACTAGCCGGCGTCATGTTGTAGCCGCCAGACTTGCTGGTCAAAAGATAACGTCGTAGCTGCAACAAGAGGTCAAAGGTTAATGACAGTTGGTCAACAGTTGGTGACAATTGGTGACAGTTGGTGACAGTTGGTCAACAGTTGGTGACAATTGATCAACAGTTGATGACAGTTGGTCAACAGTTGATGACAGTTGGTCAACAGTTGATGACAGTTGGTCAACAGTTGGTGACAATTGTTCAACAGTTGATGACAGTTGGTCAACAGTTGATGACAGTTGGTCAACAGTTGGTGACAGTTGGTCAACGGTTAATGACAGTTGGTCAAAGGTTGATGACAGTTGGTCAACAGTTGATGACAGTTGGTCAACAGTTGGTGACAGTTGGTCAACGGTTAATGACAGTTGGTCAAAGGTTGATGACAGTTGGTCAACAGTTGATGACAGTTGGTCAACAGTTGGTGACAGTTGGTCAACGGTTAATGACAGTTGGTCAACAGTTGATGACAGTTGGTCAACGGTTAATGACAGTTGGTCAAAGGTTAATGACAGTTGGTCAACAGTTAATGACAGTTGGTCAACAGTTGGTGACAGTTGGTCAACGGTTAATGACAGTTGGTCAAAGGTTGATGACAGTTGGTCAACAGTTGATGACAGTTGGTCAACAGTTGGTGACAGTTGGTCAACGGTTAATGACAGTTGGTCAAAGGTTAATGACAGTTGGTCAACAGTTAATGACAGTTGGTCAACAGTTAATGACAGTTGGTCAAAGGTTAATGACAGTTGGTCAACAGTTAATGACAGTTGGTCAACAGTTAATGACAGTTGGTCAACAGTTAATGACAGTTGGTCAAAGGTTAATGACAGTTGGTCAACAGTTAATGACAGTTGGTCAACAGTTAATGACAGTTGGTCAACAGTTAATGACAGTTGGTCAACAGTTAATGACAGTTGGTCAACAGTTAATGACAGTTGGTCAACAGTTAATGACAGTTGGTTAACAAAGACATTTGCTGGCAATAAGTGCTGGACAAGGTGTAGCTGGACAAAAAGTGAATAAAACTTTGCTTGTTCTACGTGTCTGATTTGTTCAACAGGACCACACTACACTGCTATGTGATGTAACACTTGATCTATACGAACATACGTTATATGACCAAATTACGCAAGATCAAATGCCACACGACCAACACGACCTGATGTCACAAGACCAACACGACCTGATGTCACACGACCATATGTCACACGACCAAATGCCATATGGCCAGATGTCACACGACCTGATGTCACATGACCATATGCCACATGACCAGATGTCACATGACCAGATGTCACACGACCTGATGTCATATGACCATATGTCACATGACCAGATGTCACATGACCTGATGTCACATGACCAGATGTCACATGACCAGATGTCACATGACCATATGCCACATGACCAGATGTCACATGACCAGATGTCTCATGACCAGATGTCACATGACCAGATGTCACATGACCAGATGTCACATGACAGATGTCAGACACACAACTTACAGGATGATCCTTGTCCCAACCCGGGCCGTCTTGTAGGGTCAGCTCGACCTCGGACAGCTCGATGGAGTTGTAGTTGGGGCGGATCCTCAGAGGGCGCTCCTGGTTGCGGAGGTCTTCGCCCTTCGGAGGGGTGGGGCTGTGCTGGGGGAACAATGACAGTGCTCATGTGCAATTGATTCAATGACAGTGCTCATGTGCAATTGAGTCAATGACAGTGCTCATGTGCAATTGAGTCAATGACAGTGCTTATGGGCAATAAATTCTACAATTATATTGGTCTCACAATTTATGGGACTTCTAAAGGTGAATATAAGATGTAAAGAATTATACACGATAAATAAGATTTGCATGAGTTATGGAACTTACAAAAGGCCGATAATCTGGATGAAATAATGCATGAGTTATGGAACTTACAAAAGGCCGATAATCTGGATGAAATAATGCATGAGTTATGGAACTTACAAAAGGCCGATAATCTGGATGAAATAAGACGTAGCCGTGATTGGTAATACCAAAAGCGTAGCCATGAACGCCCAGCTAAAACATAATTAATTACAAGTTAATTAACATTATCATTTTTTTTAAATTAAAGATTATTTTTTTAAATTACAGTTAAGGTATGAGTAGTTTAAACATCAAAAACAAAAATACAAAATTGTTGGATACAAGTTTTGTTTGAACGTGGGTAACATCTTGATGATATCCCACAGACACACACACAAACAGACAGAAAGACAGACACTCACCTTGAACGTGGGCAACATCTTGATGATATCACATAGACACACAAACAGACAGAAAGACAGACACTCACCTTGAACGTGGGCAACATCTTGATGATATCCCACAGACACACACACAAACAGACAGAAAGACAGACACTCACCTTGAACGTAGGCAACATCTTGATGATGTCATTGATCCTGATATCAGTCCCGACAACTCCGATCAAGTTTCTGTCTGGCACCTCTTCTAGCTCACCCTGGTGTATGGACATTTTAATGTTATGGACATTTTGATGTTATGGACATTTTGATGGTATGGACATTTTGATGTCATCCCCTCAATATTAGTAAGGTATCCAATAGATACTAAAATGACCCACGCTTTTCTTTATAGTTATTTAAATAGTAGTGTATAATTTATTTTTTACTTTTTTTAGTGCATGGTTACATAAAAGTTTGTTATTACAACGTTTTTTATGAAATTTGTTTAGCTTCACAGATCATGTAATTAAAAAATTCAAGGATTGTATTCTTTATCTAGGTCTAGAGCAGGGGTCTCCAAACTTTTCAGTCCGAGGGCCGCATTAACTATCGAATTTCAGTTCGGGGGCCAGTTTCTTCCAGGCATGTCGTGATTTTTCTGAGCAAAAGTTCCTCAGCCATCACTAACAAACGTTTTTTTCCGTGGACAAAAAGATCTCCGCGGGCCGGATGAGAGGACCTCGCGGGCCGCATTCGGCCCGCGGGCCGTAGTTTGGAGACCCCTGGTCTAGAGCTACCGTAACACTAGGCTTAAGCCAGCCGTAGATTCTAGATCTACATATCTAGATCTACCGTTATCTAGATCTAGATATCTAGATCTACCGTTATCTGGATCTAGAATCAATGTCAATAATGAGTTTCTATACTTAACTATTTCAGTTATTTTATATAAATCTTTGTTTGTTTAGCTATGGAATTGGCTTATTTGGGATAGAATTTAATTTGAAACAATAGGGCCTATTCGCGTAACTCACGTTTATTACGCTGACCCTACGTGAAGTATCCCACTCATTTTGCACATAATCGGAAGTGCCCAGTGTGACCTACTTAAGTCTTATTTTTCCACTAGACTCATGTGATAGTATTCACAACTGTGTTCGTGTGACTCGTGCTGTGGCTCCATCACCAATGGTCCTTAACATTGGTGTCAACATCCCATAATTTTAGAGTAGTACATAAAGGAGGAATTTTCTTAGCACGAGGAGCCCAATAGACACCCACAGAGAGAGAGAGAGAGAGAGAGATTAAGCAGTAATTATCTCCAAGTTCCAGTGTATTCAGTATTTTTTCTGTGTTTTATTTTAATAACGTGTTGGTTGTGGTGATAACTTAGGTATCTTATCCAATGTCAGTATCTTAAGTGTTTTATTTCTGAAATTGTAAGTTCGGTTTTTCATTATTTTATATTTTTTGCATAGTATTTTATTATTTAGACTTGTTTGCTTTTAAGAAGGTTTTAGATTGATTAAAAGTTTTATTGGTTTCAGAAGATCTTCGTAATTGTATTTAACCCTAGACATTAGATTCGAGTCTACGAAGAGTTTTTGTTCCTAGAACCATTCCAAAAGAATTCGGGAGTTACGTAATACCAGCTAGCTGAGATGATAGTGTAATAGTTGCCATACGGGTGGTACGGGTTCGAGACACATGGTGTCTATATTAAATATTTTTTATAGATGTGAATGATAACGTTGCCTATAGGGACTTGGCGGGACACGGGGCAGGTGAAGTAGAGTTATCAGCATATAAAGGGATAGCGTGATCAGACCCATGCTCAGCAGAAATCGAAGTTTTTAAAAGACAAAAACATGTTGCCAGAGGTGTGACGTCTTTTTGAATGTGGGGTCTGACTTTTTGTAAAGATATGCGACAGTGGGAAGGAAGGGGAAAGATAAAAATTGTCAAACAAACATGACGTCATTTATAGATTACTCCCAAAACCTCCGGCTATTCGAGAATAACGGGTCGTCTAGTAGATAAAGAAAATTCTGATTTGTTGAAACATTTAAATTCTAAAAATTATTATTCAGAAAGTATTTGATAAATTTTAAAATTTACAAAGATAAAAATAAAGTGTTAGATAGAATTACAAATTTAGAAAATTTCAAGAAAGAATAAAAATGAGAAAAGAATTCCTAAAATTTCAACAAATAATTAAAATGAGAAAAGAATTCCTAAAATTTCAACAAAGAATTAAAATGAGAAAAGAAATCCTAAAATTTCAACAAAGAATTAAAATGAGAAAAGAATTCCTAAAATTTCAAGAAAGAATTAAAATGAGAAAAGAATTCCTAAAATTTCAAGAAAGAATTAAAATGAGAAAAGAATTCCTAAAATTTCAAGAAAGAATTAAAATGAGAAAAGAATTCCTAAAATTTCAAGAAAGAATTAAAATGAGAAAAGAATTCCTAAAATTTCAAGAAAGAATTAAAATAAGAAAATAATTCCTACCACTTTATCTCTGACGTCATAGACGGGCATCGAGAAGGACATCACTAGACCTAGACCCTAGGGACATTTCAAACATCAAGTTAACATCAGGTGCACCAACATCAAGTTAACATCAGGGGCACCAACATCAAGTTAACATCAGGTGCACCAACATCAAGTTAACATCAGGTGCACCAACATCAAGTTAACATCGGGTGCACCAACATCAAGTTAACATCAGGCGCACCAACATCAAGTTAACATAAGGTGCACCAACATCAAGTTAACATCAGGTGCACCAACAACAAGTTGATATCAGGTGGACCAACAACAAGTTTATATCAGTTGCAACAACAACATGTTTATATCAGGTGCACACCACACGTTTATATCAAATACATGAACAAGTTTATATCAAGTGCACGAACAACAAGTTTATATCAGTTGCACGAACAACAAGTTTACATCAGGTGCACCAACAACAAGTTTATATCAAGTAGGCTACATGTACAAGTTTATATCAAGTGCACGAACAACAAGTTTATATCAACAAATGACAATTCTAAAGATCAAGTTAAAGTTGTAGGTACGGACATGTAATGTTTAAAAAAAGGGGGGGGGGGCGGATACTGTGTAGGTCTAAGTATGTATGTGTATATATTGTATGTGTGTATGTTTCTGTATGTGCGCCTATTTGTGTGGCTATTTGTGTATGTATGTATGTGTATATATGTGTATGTATTGTATGAATGTATGTATGTGTATCTTTCTGTATATGTGAGTCTATGATATATGTATGTGTATTTTGTGAGTTGGTTGACGTCTGGGTGGGATTTGAACCAGGAACTCTCACCTCGTATGTCGACTGGTCGTCGTAGTTAGCGTCCAGATGGTGAGGTCGTGAGATGGGGATCTTGATGGGATTCTTCTCGGTCATGTAGTCCAGGTAGACCGAGCTCCACACCTTATGTTCGACCTTCTTCAGTGCCAGGGGCCGGCTCAACACTTTGATGTATTTCTGTTGGGCAAAGTTTGATGTATTTCTGTTGGGCAAAGTTTGATGTATTTCTGTTGGGCAAAGTTTGATGTATTTCTGTTGGACAAAGTTTGATGTATTTCTGTTGGGCAAAGTTTGATGTATTTCTGTTGGGCAAAGTTTGATGTATTTCTGTTGGGCAAAGTTTGATGTATTTCTGTTGGACAAAGTTTGATGTATTTCTGTTGGGCAAAGTTTGATGTATTTCTGTTGGACAAAGTTTGATGTATTTCTGTTGGGCAAAGTTTGATGTATTTCTGTTGGACAAAGTTTGATGTATTTCTGTTGGGCAAAGTTTGATGTATTTCTGTTGGGCAAAGTTTGATGTATTTCTGTTGGACAAAGTTTGATGTATTTCTGTTGGGCAAAGTTTGATGTATTTCTGTTGGGCAAAGTTTGATGTATTTCTGTTGTTGGACAGGACAAAGTTTTTTGGGCCTCGATCGATTGGAAAACCTGACCTTGACCTTTCGATCCGGTCAAATTGTCCCTTTTAAATGTCCCCAAAGTTTATCCCTTTTAAATGTCCCCCAAAGTTTGTCCCTTTTAAATGTCCCCAAAGTTTGTCCATTTTAAATGTCCCCCAAAGTTTGTCCCTTTTAAATGCCCCCCAAAGTGTGTCCCTTTTAAATGTCCCCCAAAGTTTGTCCCTTTTAAATGTCCCCCAAAGTGTGTCCCTTTTAAATGTCCCCCAAAGTTTGTCCCTTTTAAATGTCCCCCAAACTAAAATGGCTGAATCTGATGCCATTTTGTTTTCGATTGTTGATAAACCCGGGGACAACAGCTGAGGAGATGGGGTGCATGTAGGGCAGGGTGGCACGCTAACAAACCCAACAGTCACAGGTGGGAGGGGGGTTACCCACGGGTCTAACTGGTAACATGGGTGAGAGAAATGTGGTAACCCACGTGTCTAGCTGGTAACATGGGTGAGAGAAATGTGGTAACCCACAGGTCTAGCTGATAACATGGGTGAGAGAGAGGGAGAGAGAGAGAGAGAGGGAGAGAGAGAGAGAGAAAAAAATAAATAAACCCCACAGATATATAGATCTATTTTTAGAATACATCGTTTCGAATGTACCAGAAGAAAATCTACCTGAACATTTTCTTGAACGTCTGCTCGCGTTGATATGTGAGTAAACTCCCCTGAATAGAAAATGGTCGAATTACTTCAGTAAACACACACTTAAACACACACTTAAACACACCACACCCCCACAAACACACACCAAAAGCCACACACCTTTATTGACATAGAGCATTACACAACAAACTCAGACGAAACCACATACACCACACACACAAGCACACACACACACACAGACAACTAAACACACAATCATTCATACACAACCACACATACACTACCACACACAACCACACACAACCACACATACACAACACACAACCAAACATACACAACCACACACACAACCACAACCACACACACACAACCACAACCACACACAAACACAACCACACACACACAACCACACATACACAACTACACACAACCACACACACACGACCACACACACACACACACACACAACCACACACACACAACCACACATACACAACTACACACAACCACACATACACAACTACACACAACCACACACACACAACCACACACACAACCACACACACACAACCACACAACCACACACACACAACCACACACACACACAACCACACACACAACCACACACACACAACCACACACCACAACCACACACCACAACCACACACCGCAACCACACACACACAACCACACACACACAACCACACCCACACGACCACACACCTTTGTTGACACACGCCATCCATTTGGTCTGCCGATTCTCTGGGACTTCCTTGCCGATGAGAAATGTGAAAACACGAGTCTGCAAAATATCTTCAGTCATAAGTCAAAATATCTCCAGACATAAGTCAAAATATCTCCAGTCATAAGTCAAAATATCTCCAGACATAAGTCAAAATATCTCCAGACATAAGTCAAAATATCTCTAGTGATAAGTCAACATATCTTTAGTCATGTGTCAACATATCTTCAGTCAGAGGTCAAAATATCTTGAATTCATAATATCGTAAGACAAAATATCTTCAAAATATATAAAGTATATTAATAATTAATAATACTTTTTTTCATGAATTCAACAGATATAGTCATTTTAGTCAATTAAGTCTAATATCTTGAGTGAGAATTTTCAGTCACCAACCGGATCATTTCTAAACAAAACGTCTAAGACAACCAAGTGGTCATCTAATCTCTAAACAAAACGTCTAAGACAACCAAGTGGTCATCTAATCTCTAAACAAAACGTCTAAGACAACCAAGTGGTCATCTAATCTCTAAACAAAACGTCTAAGACAACCAAGTGGTCATCTAATCTCTAAACAAAACGTCTAAGACAACCAAGTGGTCATCTAATCTCTAAACAAAACGTCTAAGACAACCAAGTGGTCATCTAATCTCTAAACAAAACGTCTAAGACAACCAAGTGGTCATCTAATCTCTAAACAAAACGTCTAAGACAACTGACCAGTTTGTGAGGCCAGTTGAATCTATAAAAAACTTGTTCAAAATTTTCCGGCGCTCCGTCAGTGACGATGATAATTGCTCTGTTACACAGCGTCTGACCTCCGAACTCTGCCTCCTCCTGTCAGGGGTCAAATACAGACAAAGTTAGGGACTAAAATACAGACAAAGTTAGGGACTTAAATACAGACAAAGTTAGGGACTTAAATACAGACAAAGTTATGGACTTAAATACAGACAAAGTTAGGGACTTAAATACAGACAAAGTTAGGGACTTAAATACAAAGTTGGGGACTTAAATACAGACAAAGTTGGGTCCATAAATACAGACAAAGTTGGGGACTTAAATACAGACAAAGTTAGGGACTTAAATACAGACAAAGTTAGGGACTTAAATACAGACAAAGTTGGGGACTTAAATACAGACAAAGTTGGGGACTTAAATACAGACAAAGTTAGGGACTTAAATACAGACAAAGTTAGGGACTTAAATACAGACAAAGTTGGGGACTTAAATACAGACAAAGTTAGGGACTTAAATACAGACAAAGTTAGGGACTTAAATACAGACAAAGTTGGGTCCATAAATACAGACAAAGTTAGGGACTTAAATACAGACAAAGTTAGGGACTTAAATACAGACACAATGTGAGTGTTTATTGAAAGGCTTAGGTCAAGAGTTCCCCTAACCCAGGGGTTCCCAACCCCGTGCCCGCGGGCGCCATGGCGCCCGCCGAACGATTCGCATGTGCCCGCCTCTCACTATTAAACAGAGACAGAATTTTTTTCATAAAACTTATTGAAAGGTTGAAGGGGATGGAAATCGAAAGTTTGAGGGGGGGGGGGGGGGGGGGGAGGTGCAAATCGAAAATTTTAGGGGGTGGGGTTACAAATCGAAAGTTTTGTCCCCGGGTGACGGGAAGGGTCGCTAAGCCTCTGGGAGGAGTTTGTCGATTTAAAATAGGTGGTGCCCGCCACCCTACCGATATTTTAGAATGTGCTCTACAGTAAAAAAAGGTTGAGAACCCCTGCACTAACCGTACCTTTAAGAACAGCTGGAAGGCTTTGGTTAAAGCTTTCTCGAAGTTGGCGTTGGCGCGGGGCATGATGTTGTCGATCTTCTCCTCCAGCAGTTTGATGTTGTCGGCGTTGGCAGAGATGAGGGTGTCGTTGAAACACTCGTCAACATAGCGGGCTTCGTCAGAGAACTGGGGATAAGAGCTGCGACTGGTGACACAGTGGTGATACGCTGTGGTGGTGACACAATGAATGCCATAAAATGGACACCCACCGTTATAAAGGTGACACCCACCGCTATAAAGGTGACACCCACCGCTATAAAGGTGACACCAGACATCCACTATTACACCGTTATAAAGGTGATACCCACCGTTACACCGTTATAAAGGTGACACCCACCGTTATAAAGGTGACACCCACCGCTATAAAGGTGACACCCACCGCTATAAAGGTGACACCAGACATCCACTGTTACACCGTTATAAAGGTGATACCCACCGTTACACCGTTATAAAGGTGACACCCACCGTAATAAAGGTGACACCCACCGCTATAACGGTGACATCCACCGCTATAAAGGTGACACCAGACACCCACCGTTATATCGTTATAAAGGTGATACCCACCGTTACACGGTTATAAAGGTGACACCCACCGCTATCAAGGTGACACCAGACATCCACTGTTACACCGTTATAAAGGTGACACCCACCGTTACACCGTTATAAATGTGACACCCACTGTTACACCGTTATAAAAGTGACACCCACCATTACACCGTTATAAAGGTGACACCCACCGTTTTAAAGGTGACACCCACCGTTAAAAAGGTGACACCCACCGCTATAAAGGTGACACCAACCGTTATAAAGGTGACACCCACCGTTATAAAGGTGACACCCACCGCTATAAAGGTGACACCCACCGTTATAAGGGTGACACCCACCGTTATAAAGTTGACACCCACCGTTACACCGTTATAAAGGTGACACACCTTTATAAAAGTGACACCCACCGTTACACCGTTATAAAGGTGACACCCACCGTTATAAAGGTGACACCCACCGTTATAAAGGTGACACACCTTTATAAAAGTGACACCCACCGTTACACCGTTATAAAGGTGACACCCACCGCTATAAAGGTGACACCCACCGTTATAAAGGTGACACCCACCGTTATAATGTTGAAGTAGTCCTCATCACTAAGCGTCTCGAGTATTTTGCTGACAGTACTTGTAGCGATGACAAACCTCAGGCCCTTCATGGAGCCGCTGGCGTCTAGCAGAATCAGGACGTTCTTGGGGGAGGAGGACGCCTGGATGTACCTGGTGGAGGGGGAGGGGGGGAGGGGAGGGCCAAGATGAGTGTCACACATGAGAAAAAAAGTTGAACCAGATTAAAACCGGCCAAATGACGTCAAGAAGGGGTCAATGAACTCACCATTTCCGCATTCTGCAGTCGTAGGTGTCTATAACGTTGACGTTACTGGGCCACTTCATGGCTGGAGAGAGATGGGAACCACGTGACAATAACATTTGAATCACGTGACAATAACATTTGAATCACGTGACTATAACATTTGAATCGCGTGACTATAACATTTGAATCGCGTGACTATAACATTTGAATCACGTGACTATAACATTTGAATCACGCGACAATAACGTTTGAATCACATGAATAACGTCACAAACAGTGGCGGAACCACAAAAAAGGCGCCACGGTAAAAAATGTTTTCCATGTTACACACAAACACAAACACACACACACACACATATATTATATATATATATATATATATATATATATATATATATATATATATATATATATATATATATATATATATATATATATATATATATATATATATATATATATATGACATTTTGGACAGGTGACTGACAACAGACGGTATAAGGAAAAATATTTTTTGGATTGTGTCCCTTGGTTCAGAGAATGTTCTAGATTGATGTGTAGCAGACCTGTAGTGACGTACAGAGAATGTTCTAGATTGATGTGAAGCAGACCTGTAGTGACGTACAGAGAATGTTCTAGATTGATGTGTAGCAGACCTGTAGTGACGTACAGAGAATGTTCTAGATTGATGTGTAGCAGACCTGTAGTGACGTACAGAGAATGTTCTAGATTGATGTGTAGCAGACCTGTAGTGACGTACAGAGAATGTTCTAGATTGATGTGTAGCAGACCTGTAGTGACGTACAGAGAATGTTCTAGATTGATGTGTAGCAGACCTGTAGTGACGTACAGAGAATGTTCTAGATTGATGTGTAGCAGACCTGTAGTGACGTACAGAGAATGTTCTAGATTGATGTGTAGCAGACCTGTAGTGACGTACAGAGAATGTTCTAGATTGATGTGTAGCAGACCTGTAGTGACGTACAGAGAATGTTCTAGATTGATGTGTAGCAGACCTGTAGTGACGTACAGAGAATATTCTAGATTGATGTGTAGCAGACCTGTAGTGACGTACAGAGAATGTTCTAGATTGATGTGTAGCAGACCTGTAGTGACGTACAGAGAATGTTCTAGATTGATGTGTAGCAGACCTGTAGTGACGTACAGAGATTGTTCTAGATTGATGTGTAGCAGACCTGTAGTGACGTACAGAGAATGTTCTAGATTGATGTGTAGCAGACCTGTAGTGACGTACCTGGGTAGATCCGGAAAAAACCGTCCGAGCTACAAAAATACTGCCAGGCCAGGCTGGGGTCAGCGCGACTGTTGGTGATAAACTGCTGAGTCATGTTCGCGCTCCACTTGACACCATTCAGGATCTGGGGGGCTAAGACAGGCAGGGCATCAGTGGGGGGAGGGGAGGGGGGGGGGCTGGGACAGGCAGAACAAGTGGGGGAGGTGGGGGGGGTGAATCAGGTACATAATGTCACGACATACGAAACACCAAGGCTTAAGATCTGACTTACATTTGTCGTAGATGTTTGTCGGCACGTGAATGGAGCTAAAGTTGGTGTTGAAGAGTTGCCGGCCTTTCTGTGTCTGAAATGGCCACGGGTTGCTGGAGTCTGTGGGCAGGTAGTGGATCGTCTCCTTGATGGCACTGATGGAGGCGTTCTCCATGTTCTTTAGGTCCGTGTCGATGACAATCTTCTTGGCGTTGTAGTAGCTCACATCCTGGGGATTAGTAGGGAACATCATGGGGATTAGTGGGGAACATCCTGGGGAACATCCTGGGGATTAGTAGGGAACATCATGGGGATTAGTGGGGAACATCCTGGGATTAGTGGGGAACATCATGGGGATTAGTGGGGAACATCCTGGGGATTAGTGGGGAACATCCTGGGGATTAGTGGGGAACATCATTGGGATTAGTGGGGAACATCCTGAGGATTAGTGGGGAACATCCTGGGGATTAGTGGGAACATCCTGGGGATTAGTGGGGAACATCATTGGGATTAGTGGGGAACATCCTGAGGATTAGTGGGCAACATCCTGCGGATTAGTGGGGAACATCCTGGGGATTAGTGGGAACATACTGGGGATTAGTGGAGAACATCCTGTGGATTAGTGGGGAACATCGTTGGGAACATCCTGAGGATTAGTGGGGAACATCATGGGGATTAGTGGGGAACATCGTGGGGATTAGTGGGGAACATCCTGGGGGATTAGTGGGGAACATCATGGGGATTAGTGGGGAACATCATGGGGATTAGTGGGGAACATCCTGGGGATTAGTGGGGAACATCCTGGGGATTAGTGGGGAACATCATGGGGATTAGTGGGGAACATCCTGGGGAACATCCTGAGGATTAGTGGGGAACATCCTGCGGATTAGTGGGGAACATCATGGGGATTAGTGGGGAACATCCTGGAGAACATCCTGAGGATTAGTGGGGAACATCCTGCGGATTAGTGGGGAACATCGTGGGGATTAGTGGGGAACATCATGGGGATTAGTGGGGAACATCATGGGGATTAGTGGGGAACATCCTGGGGAACATCCTGAGGATTAGTGGGGAACATCCTGCGGATTAGTGGGGAACATCCTGCGGATTTGTGGGGAACATCCTGGGGATTAGTGGGGAACATCCTGGGATTAGTGGGGAACATCGTGGGGATTAGTGGGGAACATAATGGGGATTAGTAGGGAACCTTCTGTGAGAGAAAAACTATATCCACTATAGCAACACAGAGATAAAAACCAAAACTACGATATAATTAAATTAGAACAAGACACATTTAATTAAATCCTGTCCACACAGTGGATACATATCCAAGTACACATACAAACATAGCCATGCAAACATACGAACATATCCATGCACACATACGAACATAGCCATGCACACATACGAACACAGCCATGCAAACATACGAATATATCCATGCACACATACGAACATAGCCATGCACACATAAGAGCAACTTACTTTGAAGGTGATAGACTCGCTGTATGGACCGTACTGTCGGAGGGATTCCTCGGCCACTTTCTTTAGCGCCTGCAGTGAAAGTTAGAGTCACAATCAACCACACACATCCCCCACACAAGCTACCACACAAGCTACCACACACATCCCCCACACAATCTACCCCACACATCCCCCACACAATCTACCACACACATACCCCACACAATCCACAATCTACCACATACATCCCCCACATAATCTACCACACACACACCCCACACAATCTACCACACACGCCCCCACACAATCTACCACACACATCCCCCACACAATCTACCACACACAGACCCCACACAATCTACCACACACGCCCCCACACAAATCCCCCACACAATCTACCCCACACATCCCCCACACAATCTACCACACACATACCCCACACAATCCACAATCTACCACACACATCCCCCACACAATCTACCACACACATCCCCCACACAATCTACCACACACATCCCCCACACAATCTACCACACAATCTACCACACACGTCCCCCACACAATCAACCACACACATCCCCCACACAATCTACCACACACATCCCCCACACAATCTACCACACACTTTCCCCACACAATCTACCACACACATCCCCCACACAATCTACCACACACATCCCCCACACAATCTACCACACAATCTACCACACACGTCCCCCACACAATCAACCACACACATCCCCCATACAATCTACTACACACATCCCCCACACAATCTACCACACACGTCCCCCACACAATCTACCACACACATCCCCCACACAATCTACCACACACATCCCCCATACAATCTACTACACACATCCCCCACACAATCTACCACACACATGCCCCACACAATCTACCACACACATCCCCCACACAATCTACCACACACATCCCCCACACAATCTACCACACACATCCCCCACACAATCTACCACACACATCCCCCACACAATCTACCACACACATCCCCCACACAATCTACCACACACGCCCCCACACAATCTACCACACACGTCCCCCACACAATCTACCACACACATCCCCCACACAATCTACCACACACATCCCCCACACAATCTACCACACACGCCCCCACACAATCTACCACACACGTCCCCCACACAATCTACCACACATATCCCCCACACAATCTACCACACACGCCCCCACACAATCTACCACACACATCCCCCACACAGTCTACCTCACATGCCCCCACACAATCTACAACACACATCCCCCACACAATCTACCACACACATCACCCACACATTCTACCACACACGTCCCCCACACGATCTACCACACAATCTACCACACACATCCCCCACACAATCTACCACACACGTCCCCCCACAATCTACCACACATATCCCCCACACAATCTACCACACACGCCCCCACACAATCTACAACACACATCCCCCACACAATCTACCACACACATGCCCCACACAATCTACCACACACATCCCCCACACAATCTACCACACACATCCCCCACACAATCTACCACACAATCTACCCCACACATCCCCCACACAATCTACCCCACACATCCCCCACACAATCTACCACACACGTCCCCCACACAATCAACCACACACATCCCCCATAAATCTACTACACAAATCCCCCACACAATCTACCACACAATCTACCACACACATCCCCCACACAATCTACCACACACATCCCCCACACAATCTACCACACACGTCCCCCCCACAATCTACCACACATATCCCCCACACAATCTACCACACACGCCCCCACACAATCTACAACACACATCCCCCACACAATCTACCACACACATGCCCCACACAATCTACCACACACATCCCCCACACAATCTACCACACACATCCCCCACACAATCTACCACACACATCCCCCACACAATCTACCACACACATCCCCCACACAATCTACCACACACATCCCCCACACAATCTACCACACAAGTCCCTCACACAATCTACCACACAATCTACCACACACATCCCCCACACATCCCCCACACAATCTACCACACACGTCCCCCACACAATCTACCACACAATCTACCCCACACATCCCCCACACAATCTACCACACACATCCCCCACACAATCTACCCCACACATCCCCCACACAATCTACCACACACATCCCCCACACAATCTACCACACACATCCCCCACACAATCTCCCACAAACGTCCCCCACACAATCTCCCACACAATCTACCGAACACGTCCCCCACACAATCTACCACACACATCCCCCACACAATCTACCACACACATCCCCCACACAATCTACCACACAATCTACCACACACGTCCCCCACACAATCTACCACACACATCCCCCACACAATCTACCACACACATCCCCCACACAATCCCCCACACAATCTACCACACACATCCCCCACACAATCTACCACACACATCCCCCACACAATCTACCACACACATCCCCCACACAATCTACCACACACATCCCCCACACATCCCCCACACAATCTACCACAAACGTCCCCCACACAATCTACCACACACATCCCCCACACAATCTACCACACACGCCCCCACACAATCTACCACACACATCCCCCACACAATCTACCACACACATCCCCCACACAATCTACCACACACATCCCCCACACAATCTACCACACACATCCCCCACACAATCTACCACACACATCCCCCACACAATCTACCACACACATCCCCCACACAATCTACCACACAATCTACCACACACATGCCCCACACAATCTACCACACACATCCCCCACACAATCTACCACACACATCCCCCACACAATCTACCACACACATCCCCCACACAATCTACCACACACATCCCCCACACAATCTACCACACACATCCCCCACACAATCTACCACACAATCTACCACACACATGCCCCACACAATCTACCACACACATCCCCCACACAATCTACCACAAACGTCCCCCACACAATCTACCACACACATCCCCCACACATCCCCCACACAATCTACCACAAACGTCCCCCACACAATCTACCACACAATCTACCACACACATCCCCCACACAATCTACCACACACATCCCCCACACAATCTACCACACACATCCCCCACACAATCTACCACACACATCCCCCACACAATCTACCACACACGTCCCCCACACAATCTACCACACACGCCCCCACACAATCTACCACACACATGCCACACATTTCGCACAGGTGCAATGGGGTTATGGTTGTCCTATCGCAATCATTTGCTCGGGTCATGGGGGTCATGTTACAATTGTTGGGGTCACGGGTTCACCTACCAAAACAGCCTTTTCCTTCTTACTCAGCATGTTCTCCATTTTGTGCTTGACGTCTTTGAGCAAACTTGTGATGACCTCTGGCCCTCGGGTCATCACGGTCATGGTCGCCTGGCGCTGTGGGTGGGGGGGGGGGGGGGGGAGAAAAGATTGCCTTTAGTGGCTAGACAATGGCGAAATAGTTATAAATCAGAAACTTTGGTGTCAAGGTTACTTAGGTCAAAATTGGAGGTTACATAGGTCAAGTGTCGAGGTCACTTAGGTCAACTAAGCGTGTTGGCCAGTCCTAGCCACGATCCTTTGAATCTGGCACCAAGGGCTCGATCACAGTCAGGACAGCTACAATCACAGTCAGGACAGCTACAATCACAGTCAGGACAGCTACAATCATAAAGAGAACAGCTAAAATCACAGACAGGAAAGCTACAATCACAGTCAGGAAAGCTACAATCACAAAGAGGACAGCTACAATCACAGACAGGAAAGCTACAATCACAGTCAGTACAATTACAATCACAGTCAGGACAGCTACAATCACAGTCAGGACAGCTACAATCATAAAAAGAACAGCTAAAATCACAGACAGGACAGCTACAATCACAGACAGGACAGCTACAATCACAGACAGCCAGAATCGCAATTTTTCACTGAAACTCGAGAGCAGTGATGTGGTGGGGCGGGAGAGGGGGAGGGGGGGGGGGAAAGAGAACGTGTGGGGGACGTGGGTGTGGGCTATACGTGGGGTCAGGTGTGGGGTCGGGTGTGGGGTCGGGTGTGGGCTATGTGTGGGGTCGGGTGTGGGTTATGTGTGGGGTCGGGTGTGGGCTATGTGTGGGGTCGGGTGTGGGTTATGTGTGGGGTCGGGTGTGGGTTATGTGTGGGGTCGGGTGTGGGCTATGTGTGGGGTCGGGTGTGGGGTCGGGTGTGGGCTATGTGTGGGGTCGGGTGTGGGCTATGTGTGGGGTCGGGTGTGGGCTATGTGTGGGGTCGGGTGTGGGGTCGGGTGTGGGCTATGTGTGGGGTCGGGTGTGGGCTATGTGTGGGGTCGGGTGTGGGGTCGGGTGTGGGCTATGTGTGGGGTCGGGTGTGGGCTATGTGTGGGGTCGGGTGTGGGAGCCCCACACACAATGAAATCGCACGACAATCGATGCTTCACATCTCTGGCCTGAAGATAACGAAATTAGTTTTATTAGAATTTCGATTTCTAGATAAATAACCGGAATTTGCCGGCCAGGTCTACCGGTCATATTTCAAGCTGCCGGTCTGATTGTTACATCTGTCAGGTATTCTTGATGTCAGCTATTTCATCAAGTTTCAAATGTCACAAATATCAAGTTTCAAACCGCCTCCTGATTCTTCTAATGATCGATTTCTTGTTATGTTAATGATGGTCATGTAATGGTGCCTGGTAAGATGATGCCAGGTGAGATGATGCTAGGTGTCAGATTAGATTGTGATAGGTGAGTTGGTGCTAAGTGAGATGGTGCTAGGTGAGATGGTGCTAAGTGAGATGGTGCTAGGTGAGATGGTGCTAGGTGAGATGGTGCTAGGTGAGATGGTGCTAGGTGAGATGGTGCTAGGTGAGATGGTGACAGGTGAGATGGTGCTAGGTGAGATGGTGCTAGGTGAGATGGTGCTAGGTGAGATGGTGCTAGGTGAGATGGTGACAGGTGAGATGGTGCTAAGTGAGATGGTGCTAGGTGAGATGGTGCTAGGTGAGATGGTGCTAGGTGAGATGGTGCTAGGTGAGATGGTGCTAGGTGAGATGGTGCTAGGTGAGATGGTGCTAGGTGAGATGGTGCTAGGTGCTAGGTGAGATGGTGCTAGGTGTTAGGTGAGATGGTGCTAGATGAGATGGTGCTAGGTGAGATGGTGCTGGGTGAGATGGTGCTAAGTGAGATGGTGCTAGGTGAGATGGTGCTAGGTGAGATGGTGCTGGGTGAGATGGTGCTAGGTGAGATGGTGCTAGGTGAGATGGTGCTAGGTGAGATGGTGCTAGGTGCTAGGTGAGATGGTGCTAGGTGAGATGGTGACAGGTGAGATGGTGCTAGGTGAGATGGTGCTAGGTAAGATGGTGCTAGGTGAGATGATGCTAAGTGAGATGGTGACAGGTGAGATGGTGCTAGGTGAGATGGTGCTAGGTGAGATGGTGCTAGGTGAGATGGTGAGATGGTGCTAGGTGAGATGGTGCTAGGTGAGATAGTGACAGGTGAGATGGTGCTAGGTGAGATGGTGCTAGGTGAGATAGTGACAGGTGAGATGGTGCTAGGTGAGATGGTGCTAGGTGAGATGGTGCTGGGTGCTAGGTGAGATAGTGACAGGTGAGATGGTGCTAGGTGAGATGGTGCTAGGTGAGATGGTGCTAGGTGAGATGGTGCTAGGTGAGATGGTGCTAAGTGGGATGGCGACAGGTGAGATGGTGTTAGGTGCTAGGTGAGATGGTGCTAGGTGAGATGGTGCTAGGTGAGATGGTGACAGGTGAGATGGTGCTAGGTGAGATGATGGTAAGTGCTAGGTGAGATGGTGCTAGGTGAGATGGTGCTAAGTGGGATGGTGACAGGTGAGATGGTGCTAGGTGCTAGGTGAGATGGTGCTAGGTGAGATGGTGCTAGGTGAGATGGTGACAGGTGAGATGGTGCTAAGTGAGATGGTGCTAGGTGAGATGGTGCTAGGTGAGATAGTGACAGGTGAGATGGTGCTAAGTGAGATGGTGCTAGGTGAGATGGTGCTAGGTGAGATGGTGCTAGGTGAGATGGTGCTAAGTGAGATGGTGCTAAGTGAGATGGTGAGATGGTGCCAGGTGAGATGATGCTAGGTGAGATGGTGACAGGTGAGATGGTGCTAGGTGAGATGGTGCCAGGTGAGATGATGCTAGGTGAAATGGTGCTAGGTGAGATGGTGCTAGGTGAGATGGTGCTAAGTGAGATGGTGCTAAGTGAGATGGTGAGATGGTGCCAGGTGAGATGATGCTAGGTGCTAGGAAAAATCGGCCTCCCTAGACCCAACCACCAGACATCCCGCGGTAAGCCTGACATATGTGGCTCTTTGTTCGGCTAGAAATGAAAGCTGTTCTCTAATATGGCGGCCAAATCCACGCATGCGCACCACGGCCGATTAAACATCCAGGGGAATGTGCGAATAGCTCTGGATGACAAGAGACATTGTTTGAATGTGGCAATACTTTAACGGATGTGACATTTATTGCAATACTTTAACGGATGTGACATTTATTGCGGCTTACATTGCCTCCAGTCCCAAAGACGTCTTTCTTGATAAAGTACTGCGCTGACGTCAAAGTACTTTTCTTGATAAAGTACTGTACCATTAGATTAAATTGTTAAATCTAGTCTTTTTTGTCTTTTCGATAACTTTATCTTATGGTGTGTGTGTGTATTGCGGTGTGTGTGGTGTGTGTGGCGGTGTGTGTGTGTTGTGTGGCGGTGTGTGTGGTGTGTGTGTGGTGTGTGTGTGTGGTTTGTGTGGCGGTGTGTGGTGTGTGTGTGGTGTATGGTGTGTGTGGTGTGTGTGGTGTGTGTGTGTGGTGTGTGTGTGGTGTGTGTGTGGTGTGTGTGTGTGTGGTGTGTGTGGTGTGGTGTATGGTGTGTGTGTGGTGTGTGTGTGTTGTGTGTGTGGAGTGTGTGGCGGTGTGTGTGTGTGTTGTGTGGCGGTGTGTGTGGTGTGTGTGTGGTGTGTGTGTGTGGTTTGTGTGGCGGTGTGTGGTGTGTGTGTGTGGTGTATGGTGTGTGTGGTGTGTGTGGTGTGTGTGTGTGGTGTGTGTGTGGTGTGTGTGTGGTGTGTGTGTGTGGTGTGTGTGGTGTGGTGTATGGTGTGTGTGTGGTGTGTGTGTGTGGTGTGTGTGTGGTGTGTGTGGTGTGGTGTATGGTGTGTGTGGTGTGTGTGGCATGTGTGTGGTGTGTATGATGTGTGTATGTTGGGGAGTGTTGGTGTGGGATGAGTTAGGGTCAGGAGTGCCAACGGACTTATGCCCTCCCACTGTGTCCACTACAGAATGTCATATGGTCATCTGTGTGACGTCATTTGGTCATCTGTGTGGCGTCATATGGTCATCTGTGTGACGTCATATGGTCATCTGTGTGACGTCATAGTCACCTTGTGATCACCCCAGGACAACAGCTGAGGGCAGGGAGGAGAGAGGGGTGGAGCAGGGGTGGAACAGGGCTGGCGGGGTGGAGTTCGTAAGGCTAATGAATAGAAGTGTTTACCATCGCCAAGTGGTTAATTAATGAATAAATAAATAAATTAATTAATTAATGAAAGCAGCTGCTAACCTAAACAAGCCCTGGGATAATGGATTTAAGACATGAGACAGTCACAAGACAGCTGGTTCACAAGACAGTCATAAGACATCTGTGTCAGACCACATTCAAATTACATCATTAGTAGTTGACTGTTTGATACAGTCATCAGTAGTTGACTGTTTGATACAGTCATCAGTAGTTGACTGTTTGATTCAAATAACTGTCACGTGATAATAAAAGATTCACAGATCTCAGATGACGTCATGACGCACCTGCCCCCCCCCCCCTCTGTCTCCCCTCACCCCCCCTGTCTACCCCTCCCGTTCCCCCGTCCCTACAGCGATGGGCGTTAAACTCTTTGCAAGTTCAGCTCAGGGAAGGAGTGGTCTAATGGTAGAGGGCTGGACTGCTAACCCGTGAGTCTCGAGTTTGAATCCGGGTTCAAGTCAGTAGACCGTCCCTGAGACCACCCAACTCTGATGGGTACCTAACTCACAGAATCAAGTGAACTCTACTTCACTTGCTCTATAGACCGCCAGGTTTAAAAGGGAACTTTACTTTTTAAGTTCAGCTAAGTAACTGACAGAACTACCACACACAACATTGAGACAACTACCACATAGATTGACACAACTACCATAAAAATTGAGACAACTACCACATAGATTGACACAACTACCATAAACATTGAGACAACTACGACCAACTACCTTAACTTCTAACCCCCATGCCACCAATGATCCACCAATCTTGTGATTCCCAGATTGAAAATAAGGCTGAAGCTCATGAATATTTAATTAGGAGATGGGGCGGGTAAGCCGTGTGGACGACAGCAGACGAGACCTCGACGTCTGCGGA